TCTTTTTGTTATTCACTTTTTCACATGTCTAATTGGTTCTATATTACACCCAGTACAATCTTTTTCTGTAACTCTACTATTTCATAATTTCACGTTTCCCTTTTCCCCTATATTACACATTACACATTCTAGTGCTGTATTTGTATTGTGTTTCTCCTGTTAAACAGACGATTATCTTCCCATGTTTGTGATGTCTTTCAAACACCTGTCTGAAAACCAGGCGACCGTCCAGTACCGCTGGTCACTGTGAGGATTATTATGAAACGGCAGGCTGCTGTTGGCTAATAGATACATGTAACACTCACGCTCCAACCCCATCACCCGCATACACACACCTATAGACCCACACGTGTTCAGCTGTGTGTGTGTGTGTGTTCAGTGTCCAGGTGTTAAGGGAAAGTTCTTTGCACTTCAGCTGAAATCCCCCTGATGACAGACTCATGGCTATAACCATCGCTGGAGAGTGTGTGTGTTATGTGTGTGTGGACAGGTGAGCTCACATTTATCCTCTATACCAGCATCCAGAGAGGCTAAAGCCTGATCCACCATGTGTGTGTGTGTGTGTGTGTGTGTGTGTGTGTGTGTGTGTGTGAGTGTGTGTGAGTGTGTGTGATGACACTTTCACTCCTCCTGACTGATCCATTCTTATCGGATCTGTCCATGATGAGATGCAATATTGAATGAGAGACTAAAACTTGATAAAGTGCCCTTAAAGTACTAGAGACAAAAGTGCCATATATGCTGCTTTAGATGCTAGAAAACGTTGTGCGTGCTGATGCCCTTTTTTAACATAAGTTTGCGAATGTGTAGTTGAACTCAAAAGGAAAGATGAGTTTGAAGATGGGTGTGTTTCCTGCAAAGGTGGGAAAGTTATTAGGGTAGGAAGTGAGGAAGGCTGTCGGCTGGTGTTATCCCATCGAGGGACGGTCTATCATTTTCATAATGAGTATCTGTGTCTCTGTCAGTCTTTCAATGGCCCACAGGCGTCTACAGTTGAGGAATGTAGACGGTAAGCTGTGGGTCACCTCCATCCCTCTTCAAAGTCAAACACAAACCCCCTTTATCCCCCTCTTCTGGGGGTTGTGTCACCACTCCCTCCCCCACAAAATCAGTCAATTATCTACCATCTTTACCTCATCTGCTGGAGTATTCCTTGTCCTCCTGATTTGTGGCCTGTCATCTATGTATATCAAGTTAGAATAGGTTAACTTAAAACAACCCTTTGTCACAAGATGTTCATATGCAGCTTATCAGTGTTAGCTAGTTACCTTTGAGTCAGGAATCTACAAAAATAGAAGTTAGGAATGTGAAGGACAGTGGTTCATGTCCTTTACCGTATTGTGCCAACATATGTTGTGCAAAATCTTCGCATAAGAACGCAATTCATATAAGATACCGTTTTTTATGTAGAGATGAGGAAAATATAACACTGGAGGTCGCAGTTTGCCCACTTTTGATTGACTTGGATCAGGGGTGTCCAAACCACGTACGGAAAAATATATGAAGGTCTGGGCCGCTCACTAGAGGTATTTTGCCTCGTAAGTTCAGTTATAAGTTGGAAAAATCAATCCAATGTATACATGATGCTTGATACTTGAAATGCTTTAAGAAACTTAAATCACAGCTCTCCAGAGGGTTTCATGTATTCTGTTAGCAGCTCATTCCTTAAAACAGAAGCTTCAGATTGCTGATAATAAGAGGAAATATGAAAGGTGTATTTCACGGTAGTTATGAAAATAAGTTATTGGGCTTTTTTCTTATCAACTTAGATTTGTTAGATCATGTTTTCAGCTTTAATTGACTGAGTTGATTTGAAAAGTTGGCTTATTAACACATGAATACTGTGTAATATAATTTAACATATATATTTAAGAAGCACAATATAAGACAAGCAGAAGTTTATAATGCTTAAGTCATTATACTTTTTGAATTTGCTTAGGGCCGATTCAAAATGGTCCGTAGTTTGGACACCCCTGACTTATACAAACGTGGTTAGACAGGACAGTATACAAGCAATGTTCAGCTAGTTGATCAAACAACCTCAGCATAATAATGGTAGATGTGGAGCCTGGCGTCCATGTCTTGATGCCATCGAGCTCCTTTTGAACAACAAAGACACCAGAAGAAAGCCGAGAGGGAGGAGGAGGGCAGGAGGAGAGAAAGAAATGCAACTGTCATCACAAACAAGAACCATCTGTCTCATTTGTGTAACTTGTTTTCTTTTAATATGAGAAGTATGCTGAAGAGATCTGGGAGTTTGAGAGGCCTGGGGGGGCCCTGGGCTAAAGCCAGCCTGCTCCTGGTTCTCTGAGCGAGGGGCATTAATATCCAGCCAACCTGCACCGTTAACCCTTCACACACGCACGCACGCACGCACACACACACACACACACTGCCAGAGCATCAGAAAACCTTTAACCTGAGGTATGCAGAGGTACCTGAGGTGTAATCTGAACTATTAGCCGCCTGTCTGGGAGAAGGATCGTCTGGAAGATTTATG